GGACTTTACTTAAAACTTTGCCAAAGTGACTTATCTCTTTTAGTTGATTCAAAACAGATTTTAATACGTCACAGACCAGACACTTAGTGGTTTAAAAATGAGGGATTGCAAACTAAAGTAAGACATTTTTTTTAAACATTAAAGCAAACAGACATGATGACCTAATTCCTCACTTGCTTCCTTGTTTTATTGCACTACGGGCAAGAACATAATAAAGTAATGAGGAAGTGATAGAGATGTAACATGGACTTTAATCCAAGGTCGTCTAACTCTTTTCTCGTAACTCACGTCCCTCTTCATTTACAAGAGATCTTAAACTAGTTCATCGCATTGTAAAATATGTGTTAGGGCTGCATGTAACTGTAAAATGTGTCTCATTGTTAGTCAGAAAGTAAAACACAAGGTTATTTGGCCGTTAGCAAATGTTAAACGTACAGAGATGGCTGAGTTTACTGGCACCTCTGTGGAAAAACGTTTTGGTAGTAACATATTCTGACATTTCTTGAAAATGTAACACAACCATTAACTTGAGTGTTTTTAACAAAATCACCACTAATATATGTTTCTGGTACTGAAGTGGTCAACATTTTGTGCCACTGCTATTCGGCCCAGAGCATCAAAAATCCTGCCAAAAAGATATAAATTATGGCAATCTAGAATTATTCAACTAGAATCACTTCTTTTGTCTTTAAATTTTTACCTTTTTAATGAGGTAATCTCGCTAAGAAAAGTCTCAAACTTTATAGTTAATCTAATCCAATACAAAAGTTAGCAAAACAGCATAAAACATATTCAAATGTGTCTGGGAATGTTGTTTGCCCAGAATGAAATAGGGAAGTTGTAATAAAATCATGATGAAATTACAGTAAGTGATTAAAAGAAAAAACATTTGTTTAGCTTTGGCCTCAACGACCACAATAAGGACCAATTTGCCACCATGTCTCCCCAAAAACTGCGGCTCTGATGAGTTATTTGCATGAGTTTGGGGAAATGCATCCTGTGCATCCAACCACGTTGTCTCTATGTGACAGATGGGCCGGCCTCAGCCGAGAAAAACGGGACCAAAAATGAGAGAAAACCGAAACAGACACAGTTGAATGAAAAGGCAAATATAAAAGTTGTCTAAAAGCAGAAGTCATCCTGCAGTTCTAATTTTGGCTGCAGCACCTGGCGCTGCACGCTCACGTGGGATCAGCAAGGCGGAGAAAAAAAAGAAAAAAAAACACGTCTGCGTGACATAAGTCTCTATAAAATCAGGAGGATGTGAGAACACAGTTTACATTGACTGACAGTTTACCGGAAATAGAAAGAAAATGTGATCCACGCTCAAAAATAGATGTGAAACACTTATGAGGTGAAAATTGGTTAGAAAACACACCGCTGCAGAGTGAAAGCCTGCAGATGCACAAACTTAAACCTCTGGAAAGGAGGTAACAAGGTGTCGTAATGAAAATTTGGAAAGGAAAATAACACCTTCTCAGAGCAAGAAAATTACACACTTTGAACACCACAGCGAGTACTTCATGTTAGAAACCCGCCCCATCGGCATTCTTCTCTGAAATCAGCCGAGTAACGATAAGAACGCAGCGCTCCGAGAGGGTTTGGCAGGAGAACAGCGGGGCGTCCCGACTCCAAGCGCTCAGTCCAGAGCCAAGCATTGTTGGACTCATCCGAGGAGGGGAGGGGTGCGCTCTGCGCCTTCTGTTCTCCGGCCAGATGTTTCTTGTTGTCTGGCTAAGTGGGTGGGGGGGGAGGGTGAAAGGGAAGGAATTACACAACTCCTTCACTTACTCTACCTCCCTCTCTCTGAATGTTTAATCCATGGAGGGCTTTAAGCTGAGCGGGAAGTGGGAAGCGGAGCATGTCCTTAGGAACGGTGAGGGAAAAACTTGGGTAAACAGTCAAAGTGAGTCTAAGCCAAACTGCATTTCACAAGCAGAGTCACTATTGTTGCTTAGGGGAAAACAAACAATAGTTTTTACCCTCAGGGGAAGAATTTCAATCACCAGCTACCTTCATCCTTTGAGGCATCTCAACCACTGTTAGAGCATCTCATACTGATTATTTCCACTTTGCTATCAAGTCACACCACGGCATCTCACATTTGTCCCAAAACGTCCCGATGACACCTGAAATCTGCAACACGTAATCCACGATTGTTGTTATGGATGATGTGTTTGGGATTATACTTCAGGTTAGATTAGGCTAATTCATAAGAGTTTTAGCCTAATCTAAAACTCTTGGGTATTAGTGTGGATTATTTTCTTAATCCACACTATCCACTATTTCTTAAATAGTACTACTACTTTCCCTATTAGGGATTATTTTCTGATATCAACATGTACTTGTAAGGCTTAGACACTTAAATGTAGTGAATGCTGCCATTATTCAAGTTCCTGTCTGAGCTGAAGTCAGTGATTAGATTTTCATGAACTAATTTCTGTACAAACAGATCCAGAACAACCAGGAAGTGAACAAGGAAGAGTTTTATCAGATGTCATTCCAGCTTAATGATAAGGTTAGCAGCACCTACAGAGACAGTTCACTTTCTTGTTTTAAGTTGGGCTGAGGACAGTTCTGATGAGACGTAAAAAGAACAATCAGTACAGTCATCAGGAGAAATTACCACGTTCCTTAATTATACCACAATAATTGCTGGAGCTATCTTTAGCAGAAATTAATTGAAGTAATTGCTTTTTGTCTGATTTCTGTCGGTCTCTCTCAGCTTACTGGGGAGAAATTTTCTACCGCTCTTCCCGGTATTTTGTTGGGATTTTAAGAAGCGGATCACAAAGCAGCACGCTTTACTAATATAAATCTGAAAAGTGTGGCATGCATTTGCCTCGAGCCCCTGTGTAAATATTATATAGAACCACTTTTGACTGCAATTGCAGTTGCTGCTTTCTTTTTTACTGCCGCATGAACTTTAAAGTGTTGACACAGAGTCTCCGTAAAATCTAGGGCTGGACTTTGACTAGACCATTCAAACACAATTTATTTAAACCATTCGACTCCAGCTTTATGTTTTTATAAACCTCTCCACCTGTTTCCAGTAGCAGTAGGCATTTGCCATGTTGTTTGGCATTTATTGTGATAAGTTTCTTATAAGAATTCTGATTCATCCCAATAAATTCCAAATAATGATGTTTAAAATCCCCCAGAACGCTTCGCATTGCTTAGCCATTTTCTCCACTGTGTTCAATGTCTGTATATTGGGAAGTTTCTAGAGCAGAAATTATCCTTTAACTGAAAAATATGACAAACAATCCACTAAGTTCATGGGGAAAAATCAGTGGCAAGACCCAGAACAGGTGCATCACATATTAACTACAAAATATATCGACAGTGCATTCTTTAAATCCCCCACACCGAGGCTTCTGTTACCCAACGGGTCCAAAGCTGAAACAAAAAAAAAACAGATAAGTGGATCCCAGGACCGACACGGTGTCTGTAAATGCAGCTTGTTGTCCCGGTTTTAGCACATCTTTGTCTGCTAATGGAGGATAAGTTGCTGAAAACCAGACGAGCTGCGAGCGTCACTTCGAGGGACATGCTCAATTTCACAAGAGAACGCCACTAAAAGCGTCTCCTCAATCAAATTCTCTTTCTGTTTTCTCTCTCAGTTTGTTTCTCCCCCCGAGCCTCTGCCATTAATTCTAAATTGTTTAGCTTTCCTGCCTTCACACACTGTTGCTTTCATTATGCTAACACCAAGCTGGCGTCTTTCCCCCCCTCCACCCCACTTCTCCTTTACGTCTTCAGATGGGATTGAGGATGCTCACCTGCCTTTCTTTCAGCTGCCACTTATGAGAAATTGGTTTTTAGAAATGTCATCAATCAGGGGAGGACTGGACAGCGCGCCAGCGTTAAAGAAAACCGAAGCAATCGTCAATATCATCCGGGAAGAGGAAAAAAAAAAACAGCCTTCCTTTCTTTTGCCTCTTGCACTAAATCAAATGACTAAACTGAGGAATGTGATGATAAGTGGTTAAAGCAGAGCGGCTTTCAGTGCTTGTTAAGGTTTAAGGATCTTGATGTCCAAAGAAAATACTAAACCACACAGAGTTTCTGCATATTTCACATGGTTCAAGCCATTTTACCAATTCTCAGTGGGAATATGGACATTTCCAGCACCTTGCAACACCAAGAAATATCTTTATCTGAAATAATAAATAGCCTACATGTTTAAGATGTGGATTTCACATCTTCATCCCTACATTGCATTGTGCCCAACAATAATTCACAATTCTTGCATTTGTTCTCAAAAAGGTAAGACGGAAGACTCGTAACATTTACCAACTAAAACTTAAGGCGGTAGCTGTTACAGTTAGCGATGTGCTAATGGCTAATGAACGTACTTTAAAACAGCTTTAAAATGCCATCATATGTTCTTGGTTTCAACTGGCTAAAAAAAGGAAACTGTAATTTTATTGAGCTGTTTAGTGCAACTCCTCTCAGTCTCTCAGCACACAGATGGTTATGGCTCCGTTCATGAATTATTAATGACTTTTCAGAGCACTAAAGCTCATTATGGGAAGATTGTCACTTTTTTTTTTGCCGTTTTTTTATACATTTTTCCAACATTTACTTACAGCACATAAAAAAACATTTAACAGTGGGAGCTTTTTTTAAATCAATGTTGTGTTATGGCTTTGCAGCTTGAAAAGATTATTCTGAAGTTTCTCATTTCTAAAATGAATACAGCTGAAGATGGAGTGTGACGTTTTGCAGACGGTGTCGTTGTGAAGGGGTTTGCTTTGTCGCATTATCGAAATCAGATCCGAGTCATCTCTATTAAATGTTTCCCTGGCCCCCATTTTCTGACAAAGAGCTCGATAGTATGCAAAAATTATACATTAATTACTAAAAAAGAGCCTGATGAGGTGGGTTTACAGCAGCTGTCTATCACAGCATTTTTTTATTACGTTTCCAAAGCCCACACCAGCTTTACTGTGTTGCGCATGTCCTTGAGGATGATTCAGAAGTTGGAGGTGGTGGAGAGGCGTTTTATCCCTGCATTGCATTCTGGGGTTTGCTTCTTTAAGCCTATAATCACTCATCAAACTAATTTACTATGTGAGAAATTGGATTAAATCTAATAACAAAACTCCCAGCCAGAAATTCATGCTGAGCAGTTTATTAGTGTTGAAAGAGTCTGATTAGTCAACGGGAAAAAAACATGAATTTTACGTGTTTTCCTAAATCAACAGCAAAGAAAAGGGGAGGAAAAAGACTGTTTTTATAGCGTTACATCTGAATTGGTAACATATGCTCACACTAGGCCAGGAGGGGATTCAGGTGGTGAGACAACCTCAAGTTCAGATCAGTTCAAAATGAAAAACTTAAAAATAAATCTAAATTTTGTTATCCGATTTAATAACTAAAAATTTCCTCATGACAGGTTAAGGCTTCTGTGGCACCACAGCAAAACATGACATGTGCAGTCTTCCTTATTTCTGCATTTAAGGGTTCGGTCAATCAGCACCGAGGGAAATGAATGGTGCTCCTGGATTAGCTACTTTGCAAATGCCTTTCGAATATTTTACATTTGCTCTGCGAAGAAATCTGTGAATTTCTCTGAATAATTTTCCAGTAAAAAAAAAAAAATAAATCTGCTATTACTGAACCGTGTGTGGGTAAATGTCTGCTGTCTCTAAGCAGAAATGTTTCTCTATTGTGTAAACAGTCAACAAACCCTAACCTAACATATATCCACATACATCTGAGGGAAGCTCATGAACTGTCAGAAAAGTATGCTGAAAATATTTTAGCAAAAAAATGAAGTCATAAATCTTAAAATCTCAGGTAGTACCAAAATGCTCAATTTGCTTGTGTTCCAAAAAATGCCGTTACATTTTAGGGTTAATTGTGCTCGTTTCCCCACACATATCCGAAATAGTTTCACAGCCAAGAACAAGTACAAAGCACAATCCTTAGAGGACTAAACAGAAAGCATCAAAACGGCAACTGGGAGAAGTTTAAATTAAAAGTCACAAAGCAGCGTCCCACAGATGGAGCGTGAGGAAATAAGCTCTTCCGCTCCCTCCAGCCCACAACGCTGTTCCACTTTGTTTGCATGATTAACAAGGGAGATCAATAAGCACCGGCCCTTTACGGGACTGAGTGTAACATTGCAACCCTACCTTTGTGCCCTTCCAATCCCACAGCTAATTATGTGATATGATCAATACATGTCAGTAATGGGATATTGGTGCTTCTTGTGGCAGTTCAGTGGCAAAAAGCCCAGGGGAAAAAAAAAATGTAGTGCTACAGTCCCTAATAAACACAGCTATTCTTAGGAGGCACCAGGCAATGACGAGCGCGTTATCTGCTTCCGTTTGGAGAAGAGATAGAAAAAAATATGAAACTGTTTATCTTTCCCTGTGTTTGTGAGTATGGAGAAGAAGAAGAAGAAGAAAAAGAAGAGGGAGTTATGATTTGGATGCTGTGCCTCTCCCCCAGCCCAGATCGTTATCTGCTCCCAGTCAGCAGGAAACAGCCACAAGCAGTCTGCCACAACAACAACACCACCACAAACGAGACCAGCAAAGTCCCCATATCACAGGGTAAATGTTGTTCAAGACGGCGGTCAATAAAAGCAGAAAGGCAGCCAAGGCCAGGCAGAAATGGACTGCTGTAAAAAGAAATAAAAAATCACATACTTCAAACCGTTTTGATTTCCTATGATTGAGAAGAACAAGAGGAGGAAGATCCAGCCATCTGTCTCGCTCTGACAGGGGGAAGCACTGTGGCCTCTCCTCTCCCGTTTCTCCGCGGAGTGACGGTGCCCAGCGAAGCGTGGCTGGCACCAGAAGCATTCAGGCGCCATTCCGCTGCAAGCCCATGCAAATGAACCCCCTCAACAACCACTATGCAGATGGAGCCACTTTATAAATCAAACGGTGTCCATAAGGTTCGGTGATCCTCGAAGCTGGCTGCATGTCACCATGGAGGGTCGGTTTCCCCTCTAACTGGCATGTTCCCCACAGGTTCATAAGGTAACGGAATACATTTTTGATTTGATGAGCTAAATAACTGAAGAGTATTGGAAAACAAGAAATGGTACCAAATCTGAAAAGTTTGGTGTGTGTATTAGCCCCTTTTAACGTGATACCCATAAATAAACTATTATGCAACTAGTTGCCTTCAAAAGACATCTAATAAGTAGACGAGAGTCCACCTGTGTGGAGGTTAATCTCTATACGAATACAGATGTTCTGTCAGATAGTCCACAAATTCCACAAGTCTGACCTTTATGGAAGAAAGGTAAGAAAAAAAGCCAGAAGGACAAGTCTTATTTGTACCAAGGTATATTATATATTGCCATTTTAGACTTGATTCATTTTGTGTTTACAGTGAACCCTCACCAAGGTCCAGTATTCATTGAGTCGATGAAAACTGGAAGCGTTTGAAAGCACGTGCAGCTTGGGAAGCTAAAATAGAGAGGTGCAAAGCTTCTTGACATAAACCATTTATTTTTCTTGGTGCTGATTGGCTGTGCCTCTAAAAGCAGAGATATGGAAGATTGTAGATATTAGCTTAAAATGCAAGTTAATGCATTTTAAGGTATTGTTGGGGTCTTAACTATTAAAAAAGGCAATTATGCACACTTTTAGAGGTAGTCTAAATATTTGCAGGTTTTAGCTACACTAGGATGGTTGTGGTCCCTAAACCGGACGGACACCAGAGAGCCACTGGTTGTTATTCCAATAAAATACACTGAAGTTTGAGGTTTAGCTTTAATCTGCCTCAACATGACATCACTTGAATTATCCCTCTCAATCAAAGGATTAAGTCAGCTTGGAGTTCCCCGTATAAAACACATAAGCTCTCACATCTCAGACAATAAGCCGTCCCCGAGGAGCGCAAACAGAAGAAAGATGGACATTAATGTACCACAAGCTTTAGGTGGAGCAGAGTGTTTAAATGCAATTGATGAAATATGTGGCTCTGGTTTTTCAGAACAGACTGGCTGACTCATGCACAGTCTGTCCAGTGTGCGGGGGGAAAAAAAGCAGCGGATCGCATTTTTACAATGTGCATCACGATGCAGTAACACCATGACCGCTGTTAAACAGATAAAATGAGTAAGAAAGAAGGAGGATATGTTCAAGTTAAGGTACAAAAAAAAATAGAGAAAAAGTAAGAAAATATGAATCACTGACCAAACGTTAAGCAAATTCTCTTTACAGATGTTTGAGCCTCGTTAGCAGTAAAACACAGTTTTATGTTCCCAGATACCACCATCAAGGTTTCTTCACTCCTTTAATTCTTCCAGTCAGCTTTCTACTCTTTGGACTTTTAGCCATTATTTCATTGGTGTGTGGAGAACTGAGTATGATCTCAAAGTCTGGCAGGATTATTTTCTGCTCACTGGGGGGATAAAGAGGTCCTTATGTTTAATTAGAGCTGAAAAATATACTCAACTGTAAATCCTTTTGATTTTACAAAACAACTTCAAATAGTTACTAGAAAGTGGTAGATTGTTCCAACACAGAGTTCAATCCCTGCAGGAAGCTGGACTTCCTTATAATAATAATAATAATAATAATAATAATAATAATAATAATAACCCTGTTCAGTTTTGTTCAACACATTGAAGTTTGACTAAAAGAAAGCTTGAAAATGCAAGGTAACATATCGGACCTAATTTGCATTTTTTAGGAAAATTAAGCACCAAATTTCCAGGGTTAGACCAGTGCACAATCACTGTCATGGATAGGTTTGCAGAATATTAACAACAACATGGAGCCGATTTACCAGCTCTCCCAGCTTTCCTTTGACAAAATGATTTCATTTTCTGGCGCATTAGTTATCATCCGACATAAATTGAGTTTTATAATTAAAATATTGTCCAATTTTGGCAGCTAATAGAATTTAAAGATTACAGCACTGAAATATTTCGATCCAATAATTCAAACTTTACTTCCATCTTTCACAAAGCTGCAAAACTGTAGGTGTGAGAATCCATTTGCACGTCGTACACACTGACAACAGCTACTTAGCCGTTTTACCATTTGAGACTCAACTAATGCTGTTCTGCATTCTTCCTGCAGAATGGGAACTTTTACAGCTTCGCATTGATTTATTCTTATCAGAGCCTATGGTATACCACCAGATGCTATCTTAGTAATGAAAGTGATAAAGAAAAGAGACGCAACACTCCCTGCTCCACAAACATCTTAATCTAAAGAGAAATATTTTTCTCTTGCAGCTCAGAGTGCATCGCATGGCACATAAAAAAAATATATTACACAGACGGTTAATGAGAAGCAAGAGGTAATTTTGTTTGTACGTCTAATAAAAGCATATCATTATGGAGAGCTGTTGATGTGTTAGCACCATGTTAAACAGAGTTGTCTTGTATTGTAGCAAAATCTCACACTCCAAATGTTTTGAGAACATTAACCTTTAATTTGTGTCCATCTTTCAGTGGCGATTTTTATATAAAATAATAATAAATCAATATCTATACCAGTGAAACAAAAGCTTATACTTTACCTTATAAGATACACAAATGCCAATTACATCATGCTAATTATTAAGCACGGTAGAGGGTGAGTGATGTTTTGGTCTGTTTTTTCTTCAGCGCTCCAAATGATGGACTGAATGACATTATGAAATCTTTAAACTACCAAAACGTTTTAAATGAATCCTGACACACAAAGCGCAGCTGCAGCGTAGCGTCACATATACAGATGTACACTTTTCAGCAAGTCCCTCCAGGCATCCCTTTAGATTTATTAACACTATTCAAATGTCTGATTTGTACGCCTGACGCGCAGATTAACTTTAAGAGGATGAGTCTCATCTGGATTAAATAAAATTGCACCAACTTAAAAAGAAGCAGTTGGACGCAGGCATGTAAAGCCCTCCTCTGCTTAGTGCTTTCCTCTTGTTTCTACGTTACAATGTGTGGTTTTTTGGTCATGTGGACGCAGAAGCTCATTTATATCAAAGCCACATCCTGACAATAGGCGGTCGTCCTAAATAAGTGAAACTGA